ATACTTGAGAATTATCATTTGTGATAACTCAAATTTAAATAACTTAGGGGACATAAATATACTTACAAAGTAAGTATATACTTGTGTGTGGTAGATACTAGTTAGAGTGTATGATTAAAAGTTGAAATCTATTAACTATTACTAAAACATGATATTGTTGACATTATCTTTTCTCAAAACCGTATACGTGTCGCTTTCTTATGAAATTTTTTCCCGCCTAAAACCATTGATGATATCATTTTTTTGTGATAGTTTTTTTTTTTTTCCTGAAAGGATTTTTTTTTCTTTTGTGTGATACTTCATAAACAAGCTAATTAAGTTCTTTCAACAACTTTAATCTAGAAAACCGAAGTATAGTAAATAGAATAGCAACTGTATTCCTTTCTTTTGATTTAAAGATCTATCATTCTCTCTCCTCAATTCTTTAACACTAATATTCAAACATCCAGAAATTTCCTACAATATTCAAACTGTATTTCTTTTAAAAAATCTCCTTTCAATGACTTTATGAAAAAATTGAAAAGATTCATTGTATATACGAGTTCTATACTATAATTTTTTATTAAAACCGTGCATCACACGAGGATAATCTAGTTATAATAATACTCCTATTTAATTTCATAATTTCATCTTAATTAATTGAACCCATAAGAAGAGCACGTGACTGCCGCCATGGTGGTTTGGTTGAGGTATGCTTAATTGATTAATTGGTGAACATTTTTGCCTATAATATTATAAATAAATTAAAAAATGGTTGATGAACATTAAATTAAGGAATCATGTCACAAAAAATACAGACAACAAAAAAGGAAAGCTATGATAAAATACAACTAAACACTGTGACTGATGACTAGGGGCTGCTTTAGATGAAAGCTAAATATATAATTAAAGTTTAAAGAACATTCTGAATTATATATAATTATTTTTTTCTATCTCATTAAGGCTCTATGCTTTTTTAATCTACCATAACTCTCAAGTAATCATCTTTGTTGAAGTTTACCAGATTTATAAATTATGATTATAAAGTTGGTAACACTTTAATTAACCTTGTGTTGGACCTCTTTATCATAATTTTCCTGCATTACCTTTCAATCTTATACTTTAGTTTTCAGATCTTTTGATGTTTTCAAAAGGAGAACTATACAAGAATAGAGTTAGCTTAGGCAGGCCTTTAATTTATGACCTAGATTAATAGCTAATAAGTGGGAACTCACTAAAACCTCTTAATTAAAACACCTTACACATAGTGATATACGTTAAAGGTGAGACTTTAAAAAATCATATACTATGTATTATGAGTAACAGTTTGCCTAACATATGTGCACAAAGTTCGTCACATAATTATATGATCAATTACAAGTTTATTTTCAACAGCTCCATAACCTAATTAAAAGATAACCCCATACTATGTCGAGAAAGATTTAACAGAATAGTATAGAATGGTGTTACTATAATACATACGAAGTAAATAACAAACTAAACTTTAAATGTACAATACAAGATGATTTTTCCAACATGCATTTAAATAATAGCAAGTTTTACTATTACTAATATTAATATGAGATCACCTAATGTGATTGCTTGGAAATCAAGATTCAAGACTAATTACTTTTATATCCGACCGATACTCATAATTCTAAGTTTCTAACTGTTTTTGTACTCTAAACTAATCCCACTAAAAATATATGGAGTACAATTATACATTAATACCTAAATAATCCAGCCTAAACCACCACTTAGATTCTGTACTTTTTGGCATGGAGTTATATTTATGCTATTTTAGGCAGTTGGAAAGGAGCTTCAATCTAATAATCAATTAGGATTCAATTACTTCTTCATGCTAACTATGTCCTTTTAAACGATGGTTAGTACATACTCGATTGGTGTCAAAAAATAAATAAATAAAATATTAGAACATATATACTAATTCAGTAATTCACTAATTTGTTATCGATTAATCATTTTTTTATTTTTATTTTTTTTGCGTGTGTGGAAATAATACTTAATTAAATTATACAAAGTACTCTGTTTATTAAAATTACAAATTTAAATTTACTCATCAATCTAAATGAAATACATCCTATATCGAATAATATAAAAAAAAAAAAAAAAAAAAAAAACACACACACACATGGCATACTACGTATATTACTACTATAAGGTACGGTCTATACCTACTTGCTACTTCATTCATCAATTAACGTCAACTAATGAGTATTAAACAAAGTTAAAACTAAATTAGTGATAAAGCTTTTGCTGGATTTATACCTTAATCAGTTAAGTTTTCTGTTTTTGCTACACTGACACCCCCAAAAGATGCCAATTATCTTCATTATATTGCAGATGATGCATTATAAAATAGAATACTTTTGCATGGGGAAGAATATACAATTTATATTATCCTCTTCAATTATTTATGATCATAAAACCTAGGAATTAATTAAGAATAATAGTATAAAGTTTAAAAAATGAGAAAATAGAGAGATAAGATAAGAGGGAGCAATGACATGGAAACAACATTCCAACAAAAGCACTATATACATCTCCAAGGGGCACGTTCGTGTACCCCCTCGTACTCCCATAATCCCATGTGGTTTAACCGTACATTCATATTTTTTTAATTATAAAGTTATTATTTCCATTAATTATTCATTTAGATGCCTGTTACTAATAATCTATATACTTATAAAAGGCACTAGTATTATCTATGTGTATGTCAAGCATAATGAAACAATTTGCAATCAAGTTATCCCTCTATTTGAAATTTGAAAATAATAATAATAATAATAATAATTTGAAATTTGCAATCATTCGCTAGGACTCAGGATTTTTGTGCTCGTGCGGCTGCTCACTTCTTTAATAGGATTGGGTTCGCTATAGCTAGAGGGGTGGGGGCCCAGATTGTATCTCGCCTCCCCACTAATTTCTTATAAATCGTTTGACTTTGTAGATGTTTTTTATAATAGTAATAATAATAATAATAATAATAATAATAATAATAATAATAATATCCGAAAGTGAGCTTATTGAGGGATAGACCATGGCCTCCCATTTAAAATTTAGAAGCTTAAACATTGATACAGGTTAACGCTTAAGAGTATAGGGAAGAAAATATAATTGGTGGGTTTCAAACTTGTGACCTCAAAGTCACAAAGTAAGTTCTCCATTAATTCCATCAAGCTTTGGCTTGATGTAGTATGTAGTATATTTACGTTAGAAAGTTATATACTACGTGTATACATATAAGAGTATACACTCTACGGATGATTTTACAATAGAAGATATACAAGTATTCAAGTAATAATAACTACTTTGTATTAACGTTAGAAATGTAAAATAACGGAATGAAAATATTTATACTTTTTCTTGTTGGTAGGTCTAAAGGTATATTTTTATATATAGATAACTATATAAATTTCCACCATTTTGTCTTATACTTTGCATTAATATTTTGGTAGCATTAATAAATAGGTGAATAGGCCAATAGGGTATTAATAATAGAATTTAATCTCATAAATGCTTACACGTGTGACTTTATATTATCTTGTCGTTATTCAGCACCATAGGACTATAATGTATTTGTTGGAAACTCTAAAATCCAACTCAGAACACGAGGACCGTACAAAGGAGATTTATAAAATACTCCCAAGTCTACATTATTTGATCGATACTTTGATTATCTCATGTTGCTACATCAAATATTTCATTATCATTTTATTTTGATCAACTTACAACATTTTGTACCGTGTATAAACTTAGTTTTATTTGTAAATCTAAACTAATACTCCGTAATGAAGTTATTAGAAGTTCAGGAATACTCTATAATATGAATTTATTAACCTTCGTTAAAAAGTTTAAGATAATAACAACTACCCGTAATTTCTAATTACAAAGTTAAGGTATTTAAAAATTACTCCGTAGGACGGTAGTAGTTACTCCGTATTAGTTAATTAACGGACAAAGATTAAATACTAAAAAGGAAACATGCATACTGGTTGTTTGAATTATATTGAGTAAACCTCTATCCGTTTTGCCATATTTGGTTCAATGTAAAATAAATGTCACATTAACTTATATGTTAGACTTTTAAGTTTTTACCTTTTAGATCTTTTAAATGATATTGACAAAATATATAATGTACGAACGATACATATTTATATTTAAAAAAGGTATTTTGTATGACGTAAAATACTAGTTGATCAACTGAGCCTATTAAAGTAGTGATATGATGCCCTGGATCATTGCATATTGTAATACTTGCATTAAATTAAAAGGACAGTCAATTAAGTTGAAGAAATTGTTGAATGTAGGTCGCTCGTGATCCAAAAAATAATAATCGATGATTAGCCTATAATTATACGGAGTAATGAATTTTTTTTTTTATAAAATATGGAGTATATATTATTAGTGTGTATACATACGCTATCTATTGATGTATCTTTTTCATATTACCATTAAAATTCATATAGATAGAACTTATTAAATTATTATTATTATTATTATTATTATTATTATTATTATTATTATTATTATTATTATTATTATCTAACCAACAAAATTGTATAAGTTAGAGGGTAATTAGATCATTTAAAAAAAAAAGATCATTACTCATCATTTTTCAAGTAAGGATTCGAGTTAGAGCATAGGCAATTATATTTGACGAGAAAATGATTCTTTATCTTAAGTTTTATGAACAATATATAAATAAAAGAATAAAACCTGGTCTTTAGCTCTTGATAAAAACAAGTCTCTTGACTCTTACTCCCCTGTCCCTAATTATTTGCTTAAGTTTTCCTTTTTTGGAGTCAAAATTTATCGTCATTTGAACCTATACTTTTTTGGAGTACTATACAGAATATAAACTAAACAATTAATGAAATTATTTGTAAATCGTGAAAAAGCAAATAAACACAGACATCTTTTAGAGATAAAAGAAGCAAGTAGGGCGTCAAACAAGTCTTATCAAATGATGGGTGCACACGATGCACCCTCAACACCCCTCAAAACTCCCCATTAATAGAAATGAATAAGTTAATTAATTACCCACCAAACCCAAACCCAAATTATAGTAATTACATTACTCTCCTTTTTAACACATCACACATTGATGCTACATTATCATACTACTACAAATCAGACTCACATACAACACGACCACACTTAAATTAAGTAAATTAGAATATATATTTTTATTCAAAAAGTCCAACCCATACTATTTATATCTCATCATCTTCTTCCTCCTCACATCTTTCAACTCATTTATTCTTCTTCTTCTCCTCTTTCTCTCTCCTCCTCCTCCACCAACAATAAAAATGGAGACCCACCCGAATAACAACAACAACCTTAACCTTAACATTGACAATATACGTGCAATCAAAGTCCTCGGAAAAGGTGCAATGGGCACCGTTTTCTTAGCCCACGATATCGACTCCGACCCAGATGGAAATTACCCTTTTGCCCTCAAAGTCGTCGAGAAATCTCTCCTTAAAACTAAACACAACGACGCCGAACGTCGTGCGCGGTGGGAAATGACGGTTTTAGCCTCTATTAACCACCACCCTTTCCTCCCTACCTTACTGGGCTCATTCGAGGCCCATGATTTATTGGGTTGGGCCGTCCCTTTTTGCTCCGGTGGTGATTTGAATGTTCTCAGGTACAATCAAAACGACGCCGTTTTCAGCTCCTCCGCGATTAAGTTTTATCTGGCGGAGATTGTCTGTGCGCTCGAACACCTTCATAGCATGGGGATTGCATACCGTGATTTAAAGCCGGAGAATGTTCTTGTTCAAGGCTCAGGTCACGTAACTCTCACGGACTTTGATCTTTCTAGAAAGTTATCAATTCGAAAGAAGAAACAACCCGCCGTTGGGTTCGGGTCATCCGATTCGGGCTCTACTAATACTTTTCGAGAGTTCAAGCCACTCCCGCCAACGCCCCCACCGCCGCAGAGACGGAATCATTTAACCCGTATTTTAACGTACGGGTCGGGTTTGGATTCGGGTCTACGGAAGGCGAAATCGGCCCGCGTTTCGCCGAGGAGAGCGAGTTTCGCTGGCGGGAAACGCTCAAACTCTTTTGTTGGTACGGAGGAATACGTTTCGCCGGAGGTGGTGCGAGGGGAGGGACATGAGTTCGGGGTTGATTGGTGGGCCCTTGGAATTTTGGCGTACGAAATGTTATACGGAAGAACACCGTTCAAAGGGAAGAATAGGAAAGAAACGTTTCGAAACGTGCTCATGGTACGTCCCGAGTTCGTGGGACAACGTACGTCGTTAATCGATCTAATTGATAAATTGCTTGAGAAAGACCCGAGTAAGAGGTTGGGACATTTTCGAGGGCGGAGGAGATTAAAGAGCATGATTTTTTTAGAGGGTTGAGATGGGACCTACTAACGGATGTCGAACGTCCACCAATCGTTCCTGTATTGGTGGACGTAGACTTAACTAATGTTGCTACGTTTGATATAAGGGATTATTTTCTTAAGTCGAGGGCGCCACCGTCATTGCCGCCTTCGCCAGTGCGGTCTTTGTCCTCATTGTCGGAAGAGAATATTTCACGAACGGAATTCTGATGAAACTTTGTCAGAGTTAGATTTTTTTTTATATATATATTATTATTTGGGAAATTTTAGTGTACATAGAAGTAAAAACAAATAACTAAGAGTTAGTTTAGGGAATGTACTAATAGTTGTTAAAAATTAAGAAATGTATAGTAATTTATGTTTTTAACTGTCACGTCAGGTGCACAAAATAAGTTGCTGAGTATTGTTATATTTTTCTTTTCCTCATGGAATATATGATTATGAGGCAACAAAAATCTGCTACTTTTGCTTGGCAATTGATGAGAATAAGTGGTAAATTTTTTGAAAAAAATAGAGTAAAATAATTGTTGCTAATTATGCTTTACTCTTCTTTTGAGATATTCCCCGTGTTGGTCATCATGAAGGTTTAGGACAAATTATAGCGTCCTTTGATGATAATTATGGGCAATTTTGGTATTTCTTGTGTATGGGAGTAACACTTTGAGGACATAATTGTTTACATTATCAAAATAATTTTTATTTTATTTATTTATTTATTTATATTGTTTTTGGTGTTTGGAGAGCCACAAGGGCGTACAATGAGACTCGATCCCAAGATATTCAGGAACCTGGAGAGAAACTCTAACCACTTGAGTTATTCCTCGTTCTCATTATCAAAAGAACCTAGCATCATGAACCTATCAAATATAATTGATAAGACAACAAATTAAACTAATTTCAATATTTATTTATATTTATATATAGACTATACTTGAAAGGTAAATTTAGGATACACATACGCATCATTAAACTCGAGCGTTTAATAATCCCCTTGCTATCTTGATGATAATAGAGTGAATATCTATAAATTTTGATTAAAAAAAAGTCAAATTTAATATGCGGGACAGATAAAAATAACTAATAGTTTGAAGAATCTATATGCTATATTTAGAGTAATCCAATAATCCCATACTTTTTCTAGTAAACGCTTTCTCTGTAATGGTCTTTCATTATCCAAAATCACTATACACTCATATGTACTCCACTGAATTACTGAATTTCATCAACAAGGTTGTGACTTGTGAATAGTGACTCAAAGTTTAATAAGCAACTTTGTAAACCTATTGGTTAAGTTTACCTTTCAAGTCAATGTACCAACTTTAAGATTGTTCTAGTTAATTACTTAATTTACAAGGGCAAAGTCACCTTGCTTTGGGGGTTTTGATTCCCCTTTTACAGAAAGGAATAGCAAAGCATAATTATTCAAAATAGAAAAAGATATTCAAAGGTCATCATTCGAAGAAATGTACATGTATTGTATTGTACGTACTAATTACAAATATATGTTCGAGCTGGAAAAGCATCAAACAGGATATAAACTTACTCTTGCAAGAAGGGTATCATCATTTCTTTATTAAATAATTTTTCATAATTCATTATATTAATTAGTATCATTGCCTTATTAAAAAAAAAAAAAAAAATCAAATTATAGACATATTGTATGAAATCACCCTAAATGAAAAGTGTTTTAACAAATTGAGAGTAATGATCTCTATTACTCATTATGACAGAAGTACAATACTTTTTTGTCGATCTGTTCTTTTTACTTTATTTTTTTTATATTATCTCACAAAAATTTTCAAATACAAACATTGAACAAATGAATAGAGGAGCATTTTTTTATCAAAAAGAAAAATAAATGTTCATAGAAAGTAATTACAAAATTAGATTCAATGTTTAATAATTAACATTTTTAATTTGTCATTAACAAAAGAAATAGTCCTTCAAAATTTGACAAAAATAGACTAAGGAAAAATGACAAAAATTGCCAACTTTAGTTACGATAGTTGCCAATTATTGCATCAAAGACTAGATCAGATGATATAAGATTGAAACAAAAAAATGAGCCCACAAATCTAGCTTAGCTAGCCTCAACTCAAGAACTATGCTCTTGACTCTTCATCACATGCACTTTGGTAATCATTAGATATGTAGCTATTCGAATCCTTTCTTATATAATGTTAAGAACTTAAGATGCATAATCTTGAATTCTAAATGTATTAGTTAACCTATCAATAACAATAAGATACTTTCAACTGATTCATTATGAGGGTCTTAAGCTATTTATCACGTAGTGAATAATTATTTCATTATTTGTTTCTTGATATAGAAAGATTATCAAGACCATTGTTATTTCCATTTATTTGTGCACTATTCAATAATAATTGAATTATCAATTTTTAAGGCTATATATATAACGAACATATTGTTGATGTGGTACAATCAATTGCGATAAATTTCATGCATTTCCAACATTTTGAGAACTAGATCAGACCATCCGGTTATAAGACTACTAGACATAATTTTGTCTCATGCTTCGCTATATTTTACAAGAAGTAACATATTCCATAACTTTTTAAAGGTATATTCGTACGTACTTTATTTAAAAATACAATGGTTACAATTATTATCTTAGTATAATCGAGGGCAATCTATTAGAGACATAATACAATTCTAGACACATGTACTCCGTATCACCGTATGATCTATTGCTAAAAGAATGTTGCAAACTTTTATAAAGTGGAGTATAATGTAAAATACTCCTAGAATACGATGAAAGGTATCATTAATACGAGTGGCTGATTGATAATTATAGACTTAATTAATTATAGTCCTATAGAGTTATAGGTTGTTTGATTCTTATAATAGCATAGCCTATAGTTTTTGTCTGAAGATTGTCAATATCGATCCCTCTGAATAATATGACTGTTGCAATAATAATGCAATGCAATAGTTTAAAATTCCATTTGATTTGATTATTTGTTTAGAAAAAAATGCAATTACGTTTTGTATATTACTTCTCTTTCTTCACAAATTTTGTCTAGTGATCAATTAAGTTTATAAAAGCTCTTTACACTTTGTAGTATATGATAGTTTATTGATAGATATAGCTTGTTATCCATTGTATGTACGAGCTTGAACTTAGTATGATTTTTAGTTCAATAAAGTTAAACTTGAGGCTGACATCATAGATTAATTAGGTATGTATTTAGGTCTAAGGGCTCGAGATTGATAGCCATATATGTTTTGAAAGCTAATTATGTATGGAAACTTTGATTGGATTATTGTATGTACATTATTTCCAACTGAATTGGTATTTGCATCACGTTAATTCAATAATAGCTCTATTCGAGTGAATGCTGTATTTATTACGTAGAAATAGCCATCTCCACATATATATTGCGTAGAGATCAAATAATTAGTCATCCCACCAATAAATTCAATAATACTCCAGATTCTTGCTACTGAAAATATCACTTAGTAACGTTAACATGCCTTTCAGTTTTTCACACTTTCACATACGTATAAACTTGCTCATTGATGTAAAAACACTGTACTATAACAGTATGTTACGTACAGATTTTGGCTCCCAATAAGAAAAATAAAGGCAAATTAAATAATTTGGCACCATGAAACCTATCAAAAAATAGAGGAAAATTTGCCAATTATAGCCATTTAAAATTTGTAATTAGTAAATTGCAGCCATTTTAAAAAAAAATTGCAAATTGCAGCCCAAAAGTTCTTATAAATTGTAAATTGCAACCCAATTCAACTTTTTCATCGGTTTACGTGTCAAAAAATATTCAGTTAAGGTTTTAGGGGCCATTTTAGACCTTAAGAATCCGAATTGTGCTCGAAATTAGCAAAAAAATAATGTAAATGCCTCGTTTTGCTTAACAAAAATTACGTTAATTTTTTGCCAATTCCGAGCTCAATTTGGTCCTTTAAGACCTAAAATGGTCGCTAAAACCTTAACCGAACATTTTTCGACATGCAAATTAATGAAAAAATTGAATTGGGTTGCAATTTACAATTTATAACAACTTTTGGACTGTAATTTATAATTTTTTTTTAAATGGCTGCAATTTGTAAAATACAAAGTTTATAAATGGTTACAATTGACAAATTTTTAAAAAATGGAGGACAAATACTTTACCTAAAAGTATAGTACATACGATTATTGAAAGCCTGAAAACGCACCCTATGTGATCTATGTGACTATGTGTTACAGGTTGGCTGTGATTGTAACACATTACAAAATATTTTGGTAGGATTTGAAACATTCGATGGCCGGAATTTATGAGATTTTATCTTTTATTATCCTTTAGAAAAAAAAAAGTAAAAATTATATGCCTCGTGCAAAACAAATTATTCTGTGTTGATAGGTGATGTGTTAGTGTGTTACCTAGCTTTTACGGCAAACTAAGTGCAAATATGTCCATTTCTTTATTTAAGTATAAAGTACTACTCCCTAATTTATTTTATTTGTTTCAAGAAATTTGTCTTACCCTAAAATAAAAACAATTACTTTTGTTTTGTTTGCTGAAAATTGTCTTTAATTAATTAATTAATTTGCTTGTTTTGATGTCCTCTCCTTCCTAGTTCTAACAATTCCCACTTTTGTACTTATAGCTACATAGAATCATAGACACCAAATTCGAGGGATTTTTCTTAGTAGAAAAAATAATTTTTATATTTTAAGGTAGGGGAATGTATATTTATTGATTTAGGTGTAATGGAGTTATGTGGTTTCATATGTCATTAAATGATGCAAATGAGGTCACTATGTCAATGTCAAGTTTTTCTATGTTTTCAATAATTTAAGTCAAATTTGGTTTAATTATTAGAAGTATTGTTTTTGCTAAGAGGAGGCCAAGAACGTGGTAATGTTCCCATTTCCATGGCAACATTCTAGTTACAATTAATTAAGACTGATATATATTTTGTTTTGTGGGATAATGTATCGATTCATATATGAAATATGTTAGAATTTAGGTTTGATTAAAACAATTCAATGACAAAGTAACACATACAAAATGATTTTAGAATAGACGATAATTTGTTTGTGAGTTGTAAATTGTGACACTAAGTCACTACTGGTTGAGCTAACTAATCGCCTTGCTAGTTGAAGACATTTGTTCCTTCTATTATGAAAGTTGAGCCGACTCTAGTTCACATTCAATTGACTCAACATTATTCTCCACTTTAAAATTGATGTACTTTTTATTTTTTACTAATTACTTCATGAAAATAATATGGTTTTGATTTCTGTTATTCATGTGATCGAAATTGCTCACTTACAACCAAAATAGTTGAATTGATTGGGCACATGGAATGGATCAACAAGTGGACTCAAGCTCGTGATGCACTATAACAACAAAATTTTGTAATTATCATGAGCCTTAAAAAAATTATGCACTATATGGAGTACATTGCTTGCATAGCAACGAGCTTGATGATTTTCCAACTTTATCATCGGTATGTTCTACTTGTTACTTTTCGTACAACTCGTTTAAGGTTGTGTACATTTAAAACTCGTTACTTTTGTACCCCTCAGCCCCAACCTATAGTGCATGCCTCAAAGATATAATTTTCATACAAAAAAAGGAGGGATGAAAAATTAAATTAGGTGCATTGAATAAAAACAACTAAAATCTTTGCATGGAGGATTGTTAGAGAGAGCACGAATGGCTCCGAATTCACCAATAAAGCTAGCTAGGGCTAAAATAGAGTCATTTTCAAATCTATGACCCTATATATCCTACCATCTATAATAAGATCACAACCCCTATAAATTTAAGGGTCCCATCAAATGATAGGGCTTCGTACAGTTGAAACAAGGACCATGGGTTCTAATCTAACTGTCCTGTTTCTCTTTTTGTTTGGGAGCTAGCTAACCATTATTATTTATGACTTAACCCACTATTTCATCAACTCTTTGTCATGCAATAGAGCCCCCCCCCCCCCCCCCCCCCCCCCCCCCCCCCCCCCCCCCCCTTGGCCATCTACTTCCTTAGCTTGTGGTGCCAACCACCACCAAGCCTAATACTATCCCATGTGCAATGTGCATTGCCAAAACTTCCATGCATCCATAACTAGCTTATACATATCCACACATTTCTCGTGATCTTTAATCGGTACTTTTACAACACTCATATGACTGGCAATATATGCCTAATTTAAAACTAATCTAATGCGTTTTAATCTGGGTATTTGTGAATTTGGTCACAAAGACTTACTATGAAGTTAGTGTGTATATTTCGATCTTTGTTGATGGACACCATCCCTTAACTTTACTAAGCTAGTTGATATCTATTATACTAATTTAGTACATGTACTATATATTATATAATATGTTCATGGTCATCAATGTATATACAAAGAAACAAAGCAACATACACCTTAATGGATGAAATACAAACAAATCTCATTACATATATTAAAGTACATAATCCCTTGATTAATGGGTAAGGAGTATCTATTCCCAGATTGCACTACGTATAAGCTTGGCTTATTCTAATTTTATTATTATCTTAATTAAATGCACTCATTTAATCTCCCCTTATTAACTAAGCTAAATTAATTTTTTGTCACGCCTCCTCTCCTTTGTTGTTTTGTTAAAAGCCTAATTTATACTATAAAATTTAATGGACCTGCTAGTTAAGCACTTCATACTATATATGCATATTCCAAACAAAAGAAACGTAAATTAAATAGTGATTGTTCCATTTGTCGGGCCCAAAATAGGCACCAATTTTGTCTAAATTCACACTATCATTTTTCTACCTCGTGACTCACATAGGTGGAACCCAAAACTTGTTAGCTATATCATCAAGAAAACCTCTTTGTTATTCGTTACATTTTTATGAGTAACATTTTGGGTTCCATAAATTATCTCGATCTCCTTATTTAATGGTTTGGTGCATTGTATGTACCTAAGTGAGGAAAGAAAACATGCATATAATGACTTGTCCTCCTCGTTTTATGGGTGTATCTATCACATTGAAAGTCACTTATAGTGTTATGTGGTATGTCGATTATGAATTAGCCTTTTTTCAATCGGTTCAATTTATATGCTTAGTTGTTGAACAAATACGATATAAGGATGTCCTTTTAGTTACTCGATCTATGTATAGGCTGATCCTTGTGACGTGCATGCATAATGCTAACGTGTCATTGATAATTATTTCTGACATATGGTGAATTAATAGTTGATCCTATATATAATCACCAATGTATGTACAAACACATGTCACCTATGTATCGAGTGTATACTCATTAGATTATTATGATCTTTGCTGGAGTTTTTTTTTTTTTTACTAGTTGTCTGATGTTCAAATAATTAAGCTTGTCATATTGTACCAATTTTGTTCTTCATGTAAGTCATGTGCTTGTCACTTTGTTGTTGATTTTGATTCCTTAATTAAGGACTAGTTGTGATGTTACTTCTGCTTTTTTGAGCACATGTTCGTGTAGGAGTTGTTTTTGCCTTGGTGGCTGTTATGTTAGTAAAATTTTACACAATACTTGCACATTAATTATTGTATTAGGATGTTACTACTTATAAGAATGTTTGATTGATAATAAGCTCAAGTTTCAAATTAAGTGGATTTTGCAAATATTGAGCTCAAAAAGGTTATTGAGACTAGCCTTCAGCTCGAATGTAAATGAAAATGTGTGACATTTTAACTTGAGCATTTCTTATTGGCTTGTTAACACATAATTAACAACACAAAATTTCATAGATATTTGGGGATTTGTATTTTAATGTTGCATAATCTCACATGAATTTCGTACATATCCAATCACCAAAAACTAATGATAACTTATTTAATTTTCCTCTAAATATTATCTTAATTTCGACCCAATATTATTTACCTTGTAAACAATAACATAGACTAATACGAGTATATTACAATGTTATAGCTATTGTACTTGTAGTGCAATATGAAAAATAATCTTTGATCGGGTAGATTATTAACATATGATCGTAACTTTGTAAGTCTATAACTCATAAATATGAATGTGACACAAAGAAACAACGGTACGGAGTATCAAATATATCAAGGGCCGTTTTGAGGTATGAACAAAATTTTGTGATAAGCCAGTATATAGTTTTACTCCTGTTACACCGTGTATGTCATAACTAAACTATAATTTGTGGCCCATTTTTACTGTTTTTCAATTTTGTTTACTTATATATGTAAGGTCACTTTCGGTCATTTATAACCTTATCATTTTGAACAATTGTCTGTGATAAGCTAGGCAAAAAAAATAGGATTAAGATTAAAATATTAAACTTTAATCTGTTTCAAAGTAAGTAATGTTTGTTTACATGAAATTATGAGAACAATAAGCTGGGTTAAAATAACAGTGCATAAGTAGGTCCAAATTTAAAAAGCTGGGACCTCTTAGTACTATTGTAGTATTGTCTAGCTGTTTTATTAATTAGCTTTGCTTTATGTTTCTTAATTACATATGGTTTAAACTTTAAACAAGAAACAGTATTAGTGTCAGAAATTGTCATCAACAACTGTATACATTTGTCAGTATTATATTATACATACAAATTACACACCCTTCATTTTTTTGGGTTATGGTGGTCCTTTGCTTTGTTGGTTTGCAATAATGTGATTTAATTCTTAATAAGCTCAACTAAATGCTGAATAAATTGGGTACTCCATAATCATAAGTTCATAACCACGATTTTAAGGAGGCAGCTACAATGACAAATGATGAAAACGAGATTCTATACACTTGTTATAAAAGTTGTTTTTATGAAACAATTGGACTGTAAACAATGGGTTACTGTGATGGGCGGAGGCCCAACTAATTGGCAACCTCACTCTTCATCCTTTTAAACTTCCACACCCAATTATAACTCTTACAAAAATTAACGTTTCAACAATTCAACTTTTGCACTACCACAATTCCCTTCTGTTTCCTTGCCAACATTTTTGTTATCTCTTTCCATATTCGTGCAACATAGAAATCGTATTCTAAAGGACAAGCACTCTCTCATGAGTTTGCCAGTGAGTTGTACTAGTGGTTCGTGAATTCCGAATCACAATTTCTGAAAGCCCAGCAAAAACTTGAATACAGAATGCCAAATTTTGAAGTTCTAAATCAGGTTACAGTGATATGCCATTGACAAACACAGCCATGTTCTAGTACACTGCTTGGAAGGCAATAAAGAAGCTTTCCTTTTAACTACTTTCCTTAACTAAGGATTTTAACTTGTTTGATATAATCGACGCAGCAATATCTTCTCTTCGTTTCTCAGCTTATCAGCCCCATATTTCTTCAAAACACTAAAGTTTAGCGCCTTCTTTCCTTCCTCCAGAGCTCGTTTCCTCGTAGCTGATAATAAAATTTCATTCTGCTTATCACTCTTGGAATCCTCCTCCATGCTGTCAGTTCTCTCCTCGCACATGCTAGCACTATCATCCACTTGTACCTTGGAGGCGTCTTTCACTTCAGAGCTGGTTTTTGTGTCTTCATCCTTCGATACTCCATCATTACTATCAATACTACTTCCCCACCATCTGTTACTGCACTCTGATAAACCAGCTGATGGGAATCCATATTTGAACTCGTCTAATGAGGCGCTGGTTTCTATTGCCAAACCAGAAGCAAACATATGCTGGGACTGCCAAGTGGCCACAGTCTTGCTTCCTTGCTTCTGCTGTGCATTGTTACCTAGCGACTTTGAAATATCAGGAGTAGATTTAGGATTCTTATTATCCTTGGCAAGAGAGCCAGGGATAGAAGTTGTGATTGAAGGGGTTGTCACATTGCTCTTTGATGAAACTCCTCTCAGTGCTTTATTTTTCTCTTTAGCGGCTTCCTTCTTTATGTCTTCAATGCTCTTTCCAGCAAGATACTTGCGGTGTGGCCATCTCTCAAGACCATTCTCGTTGCATATTTTCTTTAGAACACTCGTGGAGACACCAAGAATGTCAGCTGCCTCAGAGAGGGGCAAAGAGAATAGCTTGAAGACATCTTCAAATGAGAGGGAATGGTCAATACTAGACTTCTGGTTCTGTCCAGAACTCATTGTTGCAGTTCCTGTGATGGTAAGTATGTGGTTAATGCGATAAGATACTGCACTTGGATGTTATATGCAGCAGGCAGCAGTCTCCAACTCAATATTTGGACTAGCAATGTAAAAAAGGCAGCAGTTCATACTTTATAGAAATAACAATATATCAATTTGATGCTATAGAGTTCATTAAAAGGATTGGGAGGCAACTTCTTTAGAAAGTTCATGAGCCCATAAAAAGGTGAAGTACTAGTGTGCATGAAACTGAGAATCGCACACATGAGTTGTGACAAAAACGCTACACTCAATCCTACTCAAAGTCTCAAACATTGATCAACATTCCGCTAACAATGCTCATTAAGACAGGCGACAAGTCAAACAAAAAACATTCAAAGTCTCACATGATACATAAGTTTATACCACAAGACGAGGTCCATCTCCTACATAAAAAGAAAAAAAACCAAAATTGAGTCTGCACATGGAAATACTAACAGACAGATACACAGGCACAGATTACATTAACTATCTAATACTCAAAAGCATACAGGATATATCTCACTAGCTGTGAAGTCTGTGAATGGTAAACGGTTCCATGCCAGTCGTTAACAGTCTTATGAAGACATCAGCCATCTCATGAAAACGAATAAAAATGGCACTATGTCACCATGAGCAAATATACCTTACATATAGAGAGAATCAACCAGACCATAACAATCCAATGTTTCAACAGACAATCAATTCGAACAGATTCTGATTACGGGGGTAACAAATACCAATTGGTGCATTCAGCAATGAATTTTTTCACTTCTTAGCTAGCACAAGTAAGCTTTAAGCATATAATCATCATAATTTTAGTGACAACCCCAATAGTTTTGAAATTAAACATAAAAAGCTATGATCTTGAACTCTCTTTTGTAAGCCCAATATAATAAGCAATTATAATTACGAGTATATGGAATGAAAACCCATAATTATGAACACCATTTGATTGCAATTATAGCATCAAATTACAACAGAACTTAAAAATTAAACCTAAAATTACACCCTTTTCAATAAAATTAGAAGGGGATTGTTTTTCTACTGAATTTAATTAAATTTGGGGGGAATAATCATGTAATAGTCTTTGCAAAAACCCTAACTGTCAAAGAACAAAGTTTAATACTTTAAATAATTAGCAATTGAAAATAACAGCTATAATACAAGGATTTAATAATTCTACTTAAATCGAATTCATGGCATTTGTCTACCCCTCAAATTTGCAGAACGATAACAAGATGAATTTCGAAATTGCTGACAAATTTTAAACAAAATTACCAAAATTTCACAACACAAATAAAACTGCATAAATCAGAAATTACATAAATTTTTGAGTTTACCTTAATTTTTGGAAACGAGTAGCTCTATATCTCCCGGTAATTTTGACTGAACAACAACACTCTGTTTGTTTGACTAGTAAAGAGTTTGCCGGTGTTCTAATTGGGCCGACCAAAATTCATACAAGTTTACATTTTTTTTTAGTGATTAAACAAATTTTATCTAAAATTATTTTAACTAAAAACTTATCTAATTTATTTTTATCTCTATCTTTTTTGTGAACTTAATATAAAAATTATCTTATTCAGTTATTTGTGTGTGTTTTTTTATTTTTTATTTTTTATTTTTTTGACGCACAGTTGTTTGTGTTATTGTGTGTGATTTTGTTGAAAATTGAAAAAGTTATTGTGTGTGATTTTGTTGAAAATTGACTGAAAAACTTATGAACCTATTTTATTTGAACTAATTTTACAATAATACAATAGCACAAGTGTAAAATACGAAGAAATAAACAGAACTTTGTATAATGGTATACCAAGATCCACAAAAGACTACATTTAAGATGTTTGTAGAGGTGTCAATTTAGGTGTTCGAGTCGGGTTTGATTAGGTCGGGTCAGATTCATTTCTAGCTTGAGTCATGCTAAATTATTATGTCTAAAACGTTACTTTTAATTGCCAAAAGTATTTAATATTGTTTGGAACCATATATCATATATATGAACATTAGTTTGTCACATGAAGGTTCATGTGGCTTTAAATTTATGAAAGAAAGAGTATACATAAATGACTAAAATTGATAGTTTAATTGCAAAGTGGATAATTTCAACTACCTAAATGGTCTCTTGGAGTTTCGCGTGGTCAATGGGAAGCATCCTAACCTATTTTTTTGTTCGGATCCAAAAAAGTCGAAAATTGCCTAAAACTGAAGGTTATAATCCATTCTTTCATGTCAATTTTGAGAAATTTTCCCAAAATTAAAATGAATGCTTGAGGTGCCACCCGAAGTCATATAAGTTATTTTGGTACTATAACAAGTCTACCAATAGGCTTACAAACCCCCAAGAATGAGTTTGGTTACACTATGTGCTTATTTCGAAATTAATGTATTGGTATTTGGTAGCTTAGTCAAGCTCCAAGGGATAAATCATCAACTTGACGTCTTGGGGTCCTACTAAGGTGTCGAGAACCCTTCATTGTGTTAACCATCTTTTAAATAGTTTTTACCTATAGAGAATTGACGATTAACGATTTTGTTGTGCATTTGCTTAGTAGAATAACAAAAAAAAGAGTCCAAATGTATGCGTGTGCTTGGCTCCTATAATTGAAGTGCATATTTCTTCTTTTATGATTCAGGATACCATATACTCTTCCGGATTATTTCTTATACTACCATAACAATGTTAAAGATATCATTCCAAGTATTACTCGGTGCAGTTAGTGAGGCGTTCACCTTATAATCTCGAGGTTATGGGTTTGATCCCTATCAGGGCTGTCACGGGCTCTTGTGGGTCACATAGTAGACCGATTGTTGTTTATGCACATTAAAAGTCAAGTAGCACAAACAATTTATTGTTGATATAAATTTCAATATGAGACATGAAATCTACAAAGAACTATAATATACAAGAAGCAGGGTTATAAGTTTCTCCTTAATATAATAGAAGTCATAGAAATCCCTTACAAACTTACAACAAAAAGAGCTCAATAATCATACAGAAATTACCCTGCACCTATTGCTCAAGTTGTGCATACCAGACTCCTTCAATCTTCACATCTTTGGGAACCTTAGCTCCCAAATCAGTGTCTGATGGCTGAAGACTCTGGAACACTCCAATAACCTCACCGGTCTCGGGCTTGCTCGAAGTCACACTCAAAGTAATGGTTCCTTTTGATGAAGCAGTGTTCTTGATGTTTTCCTTTTGGAGCTCTTCTTCGTCTCCTCTTCCTCCTGCAGGCAATGCCACGGCGTTGTCATATCCGGTGGATCCACCTCTGCCCTTTGGGTCTAGGAAGGATGATCCTCTGTATGATGGAACTAAGAACTCTCCAGTAAAGGCCTCGGGTTTTCCTGAGGCAACGAGTTGCTTGATGGTGAAGAGGAAAGGTACGCGTTCACCACCAGGAAGCTGGACTGTGACTGCGGCGTAGTCAATGCCATCTTTCTCCTCGAACTTGACTGTGCCATCGGGTGCAACCTCGAAGGGTCCCTCAATCTCATCAAGGGTGTAGGTTAGACGGGTCATGAGCTTGGTGTTTTGGAAGTCTGGTGGGGCGTTCTTGCTGATGCCTTCGGCCTTGACAGCGAATTTAGTAGGCTCGAGGCAGAACTTCTTGGCAGTGTACTTGCCTGGCTTGAAGGCAAAGGAGTCTACTCCACCTACAATGGTTGGGCATTGGTTGGCTGTTCCGGTTCCTTTGACTTCGAGGTATGTCTTGCTCTGGATCTCATCATAGGTCAATCTCTTCGCTCCCTCAGCGTTAGCCCCCTGAACATAACACAAAAACAGTCACTTTCTTTTCATAATCCTTAAGAGGCCTTCTTGGTTATACCTGAAAATTGCTCTAAATTCGAAGCCAAAATAGTCTTTTACTAGTACCATTCATCATAAGCCAAGTAAAAAATAGGAATGCACCCATATTCGGAACAAATGTGATGAGTTAATCTATTTCAAGGTTCTTTGCATTTCCATATGCCATACTATTTTATTTCTATCTTACAGTCGTCTGACAATAATTGAACAGACTCATGATCAGATCAGAGCTAAACTTTTCCTCAAAAAAAGATCAGAGCTAAACTTGACTAAATGATTTGTAATGTAAATGCATTCATAATTATGCTGTAATAGTCAAATAGAAGTGCAAAATTATATAACCTGCTCGTCTAAAAGCAAGAAGATGCTATCTTGTGCTGATATCGGTTTCATTTTGATCATTATGTTGTACTACATTAGCGAGGCATAGTACTCGACTGCACGGCCTGGCCTTGCAGGTGCAGAACGTTACATTCGTGTATGGGACTTATAAGACCGGGGTGAACGCCCCCTCGTATCTGCAGCACAATCTACCAATGCGCTTACAGAACAAATGCTTCAACAAGTTATTTGACAATTTTTAACAAGTTGAGTAGATCAACTAGTTTACCTTCTGTAGACTATACAACATAAATCTCTTGAATTCAATAAATAGAAACTCTTGAGTTTTGACATATTAATCTTTAGATTTATTTGATTGAAACGACAAAGTTCAAAATTTTCCTAAGGCAGGTACTTGTACACTTCTAATCAGTTCAAATTTTCTGAGTCAGATCATACTATAAAGTTTCCTTTGCACTTTTCTCAAGAATTTACTGGCTATATAAGCATAATCACCAAATTAATCACCATTTCAATCAATTTAATATAAATCCTTGAGCCTAGCATAACAAACACAATTAACAAAGTGCAAAAACATAACCTTAAACTTATAGGTTCCTGCAGAATCATCAATCTATAATGCAAACGTACTAACAAATCAAATAGGAATCAAATAACAATAAGAAAAGGCGGTATACCGAGGCGATAAGAGCCGAGGTAGCGAGAGCGAGGCCAGCAAGCTTGGTAGCATCAACACACTTGTTAGCCAACTCCTTAAGATCAGACTGCAGAGAAAGAGAGACTCTACCAGCACCAGATTCTACACCAAAAGCCTTACAAACATTTTGAGTAGACCTTAGTTGAAGGGTGTTTCTTGAAGAAACTACTTTGTTGGGTTGTTGTAAGAAGGTTGTTGATGCTTGTAATGAAGCTGCCATTTTTGCTCCAAACTCTCTTCCTCACTTGTCTGAAATTCAGGGTGTCCAAGTTTCTGTAATATGACAGTTATTTTGGTGGCAGAGAATACAAAATATGTGTTGGATAAAGAGATAGGATATAAGAGATAAGAGATCATATCTTATTGGTTAATTTTTAAGCTTGTTGGACCTACTTTTTATTTTGTTAAATCTATGTGTCATTGTTTTTGTTATTGATAAAGATATGTATCCAATTAGAGCTTGTGTACCACACAAATCATATGAATTTGTGGGTGTGAAATTTGAGGGACTACCTCTAATTATATTTTTCATTTGATAAATAATTAAATTATAATTCTTTTGTTTTCTTTTAGATGCTAAGGCTTAACTTTTGCTCTATTTACGTGGTCTGTTTTGATTAATATTTTTGATTTATAGGTTAGAGAAATATACTTATATGGAATTGTTAGATTTATTTTAATATATTTAGTATATATTTTCAAAATGTTTATGATTGAATTTATGGACATGCGTGCAAATCAAAACCAACATATTTTGAAACATATTAAAGTATTTATAATAGCAATCTAGCTACTCCAATAAATTGCTGAATTAAAATATTTTCAGCTATCAATATTACAGAGAGTTTCTTGATGTTCACTAATTTTTATTTTTTTTGTTGTTTAGAGAGCCACAAGGACGAGTGATGATAATCGATCTCAATACCACCTGAAACCAGGAGGGAAGCTTAACCACTTGTGTTATCCCTCACTCTTTGACAGTGTTCAATCTATTACGGAGTAAAAAACATTATCAGGGTAAAAAGAAAAGAACAACGATGGAATTACATGATGGTTAAGATCCTACTTTGTTTACCTTAATAAATTCAAATAAAGGTTAACAAATTTTATAATATGGATCTGCATAATTCATTGTCTATAAAATGCTGAGTAGGCTTATGCTTGGCTGTTAGCATGGATCAACCTACAAATATGTTGGGCCAAACCTTTTTTCATGAGTCATGACCCAAATCTGGGCTCAACAATTCTTAGTGTATAGCCTTGAAAAGTTGGTACAGTGTGGCCCAGCCCAAATTGATGCCACATTTGGTTAGTTACTTGATTATCTTGATTACGTAAGTTTTGTAAGGTAACCCTCACAAGTTTAAATTTTGTAGCATAGATAATTCCTTTCCTATTAAATTTACAAGCTAGGAGACATAAAAAATATTATTGAATTTAAATATTGATGAAGTCAAGGAGATTAATAGTAGAATATAACTTCCCTAAAAAAAAAAGGATGGTAGGTTTTTTTTTTTTTTTTTTTAACGAAATCCCTTTTCATTTTATATTTTACTATTGATAGATTAGTGTTGGCCCCTTGCTTATCACATATATGAAATACTATATTGTCTATTTTAAATTTAAACTCTCTTCAAGGCAATATTAATTATTAAGGGTTGGTGACAATTATATCAAATTAATCTGAAATACGCTTAAAATTACTCCATCTAAAACTGAATAACTAATAGTCTAATATTATTTGACCATATACACATGCTAACACACACATATGACCATTAATATATGAAAATTTATATTAGTAGATATTATATAAAGGTTGATACTTAAAAAAAAAAAAAAAAAGTACAGAGTATAAATTAATACTAACATAACTACATTTAATATAACAGTATAGGATCAAAATATTATGTATCAAATCATACATCAATTATTTCGTAGTTGAATAAAGTACAAATTTTAGTTTGGGATAAATTGCAAAGACCAATTCAATCCCTCCAATACACACACTCTTACGAAAATTGTTGTTATTCTATTAGATCGATGTATGTTACGTACTGTAATGCACTCCGCACACATTGATATGTACGACGAATGGGCATAGCTGTGAATATTTTGGCACAAGACATCTTAGATAGGCAATGGAGCAACAAAGTCCTAGATAGATGTTTGGTGAGAAAATTGCCAAATAGAGCTAATTTTTATGAAGGAAAATTGCCAAATAGTTACTTGATTATCTAGACAATGTCATCAAAATGTGTTTTTGTTGAAAATATGGTCACAACATGCAAGCAACTTCATTTCTTGTACTAGTAACACTCTTTTCAACCCTATTGTATGTAGAGGTGTCAACTCGAATGATTGGATCGGGTCTGATGAAATTGGGTCGGGTCGAATCAATTTATAAAGTTGAGCTATGCTAAATTATTATGTCCACGCGAGTCCAAATCTGAATCGGATATTTTTCGGGTTGATTTCGAATCGAATCACATCGAGTGTGGTTTTAACACCTCTAATTGTATGTCGTTTAATTACTTTGGGGAAAAGCAACATGCATGTAGTGATGTAGTGACAACTTGCTCTTAGTAAATCTGGAAACTATTTTATGATTGTGTCATCATAAGAATCTATTGTAGTCTTGCATAAATATATGTTAGATTGAGCTTTGTTTTCCACATCACGGAATTTCATAAGGGCTTTAATTATCAAATTCTGTTTAAAACCATGATCAATCAGAATTTATTTGACGTCAAACGACATTGTTTCTCGAACGTCTTCTAATTTTGTTTAGCTACGTATCAGAGAAATTCAATTAATTTAAAACGTGATGAACTTACATTATTTTAAGAGTGGTTTTTTATAAAATACTGTTGAGATAATAATATAACAACTAATTTTGAACCAAAGGAGTATAAAATTACATTATGAGTGGTCTTTCAACATACGAGTACTATCTTTCTTCCCATGGCATGTGCATTGGTTTGTAAAAATGCTTAGAACTTCCCTAATTAAGCTCATCTTTTTGTCACTTATTTGCGTTTCTATTTTTTTCTATTGGGACTGCTAGTATTTTTAGAAATTGGGATCTTTGTTTTAGGTTCAAACAACAAAAAGAGACAATAATTAAAAAAAAAGCTTTAGTCATTGCTGCTTTTTACTAATCCGTACCCTTTTTAAAGATGTATTTGTATTATGCTGCCTAATGATCAATTTTATATTTTATTGCTATGTTAAAATTTAATCACTTTTGAAGAAAAGTTTTAATTATTAATGTATCAACCTTTTTTTATAGAGCTCCGCTTTTTTTTTTTTTTTTTTTTGAACGGTTATAGAGCTCCTTATTTGGTTAAAGCTAAATCATCATACTCCTTGTTTGCGGAATTTTTTATATGAATAGCTTAACTATTAACTAATTGAGATATTATTACTCCGTATTAATTGTTGGGTGTGACCCAATATTAATAGACCTATTATTTTGACGGAGTATTTGTGCATATTTTAGAAGTTTTCGGGAAAATCAAGTAAGGTTAGTTCTTGCTTATATTTTCTTTAGAACTATCTACTTGCACATTTTAGAGAATTATTGACATTGGAAGCAACTAGAATACATGACTTGTGAACCTACTAGAATATTATGGATACAAGAATGATGGAGAAATTTATGGAATCTTCCGGCCATTTCTTCCAAGCTCTATCTTCAACTATAAATATAGGTTATACCACGTTAAATATTATGTGTCCATTTCACTCTAGTTTTTATCTTGGCTTATTACTTTCTTATTTTATCAATCTCTAATTTTAATTTTCTTCCGCTATGTACACTCATCAACCCTAATATTAACAAGTAAATGAACTAATTTAACTTTATCGAAAGGGGGTAAAAGTAAAACTTGCCATTAGATAGGAATTTAAGAAATCATTTCTTTCAAGCAAAGAGAGGAGAAGACTGTGATATTTCTAGCATGTCAACTTTAGTTGTGCATGATTGAGTGAAGAGACACCACGATACAATGATGCTAGTAAGCTTCAAGTTTGATTCAAGAGTACCAAAGTACCCTGACATTGAACCAAAAGTATACCAAAGTAATTCATAAGATGTATGTCTATAATCTCTTGGGCTAATTGATATTAAGAAAATATGATTTTTCTAATTAATATTCCAATATTTAAGACATTCTCAATCTTATCATTTCATTGGATTGTATTTAGTATTTTAAAATTTAAAATTTAAACCAATGTAGATAAGATTTCACAAAAAGAATTACCTAACAAATGAGATAAAATAGTGTCATCAATCAAAAAAATGTATTTATCCATTAAAATGAGTTGGACATTTTCTATCTTCAGCATATATATGCTTTAACATTTTAAAAATTTTATATTAATTTTTTTTTAATGGATATAATTAACCTTTTCCTATTTTACATGTCATCATAGACTCATTAGTAGATTAGATAAGAGGATAAGATAAATAAACTAATAACTAAATTGTAATTAGTTGGTTTAAATAATGCTTTATACTATAAATACCAAAGAATGTAATGTATTGTAACATTCTTTTTTTTATGCTTTAAATTAAATTCTACTGAAAAATCAGAAAAATTACTTGGTTTGTCAAGAATATCCCACCCAATTGAATCAAAAAGCAACATTCATCCGTGATTCTTATAAATTTATTTGCTGTGCTCCTGTCTTTTTTTTATTTTTTCTTATAAATTTATTTTACTGTGAAGTGTAAAATCAAATTGTATTTTTGGTTAAATTCTTCACAAGAAACCATTCTTAGCTTTCACGGGACTGCAATTGTCCCAATTGGGTGACTGTTCTTTGGATTTTGGCTTGAATTTGTCGTTATATTTTGTTGTAATTCAAGTAAAGTTCAAATCTTTTTATATAAATAAACACCTGGGTTTCTCATTTTGGAAGAGATTTAATATCATAGTTTCTTCAGTTTTATTTAATACCCATGTTGTGCTATTTTTGAATTTCCAATAAATTAGATAAAAGGGTATTTGGGGTTGTGATTTTGATTTTAAAAAAAAATGATGGGTTTTTGGTTAAAAAATCATGTTTTATTAGCATGTTTCTTGATTTTGTTGCCTGGGTTTTGTGTTTGTTATGTAAAGCAGTGTGGTAATTCTATCACCAATTTATCAACAAAAACCTTAAGATATGAATTTTTAACATCAAACAATGAGACGTGGAAGAAAGAAATTATGTCTCACGATCATAATGATCATGATCATGATCATTTAACCCCAACGGATGAAGTTGCGTGGTCTAATTTAATTCCTAGGAAATTATTATTGAGGCGAGAAGATGAATTTAGTTGGAATGTTTTGTATAAGAAAATTAAGTACTCTAAACATGATTTAAAGGGTAATTTTCTTAATGAAATTTCACTTCATAATGTGAGGTTAGACCCTCAATCATTTCATGGGAGAGCACAACAAACAAATTTAGAGTATTTGTTGCTGTTGAATGTTGATAGCTTGGCATGGAGCTTTAGAAAAACTGCTGGTTTGCCTACACCAGGAACTCCTTATGGTGGTTGGGAAGCACCAGATATGGAGCTTCGAGGCCATTTTGTAGGTCAGTAAATGATTTCATATTATCTTCATCTTGTTCATTTGGAATCTGTTATTATTTATATGTATGATAAGTTGTTTTTACCAACTTTTGAGTGATGAATGTGTATGTTTGACAGTGTGAGTACTGAGTAATTTGAACATATTATATTATTGTATTAGGTGGCACTCCTTTCATAGTACTAGAGTATTTTGTATATCTTCTTGACAGAGCAATATATAAAAGGAGGGGAATCGTCATATTCATCCCAATTTTATCAGTACGGAATTAATAGTCATGTTTCTGTTAGGAATGTCCATGAAAGTTATGTCACCTTTCCAAAGTTAGTAATGGCTATCTAAATTAAATGATGTGGAGGGATGGAAGATTTTAATTATTATAAAGGCCAATGTGTGTAAATGCATATCATCATTAATCATTCGAGTTTATAATGGTGTGAAAATGTATGACTACATGCTTAAATGTTTGTTATGACATTAATGCTCCTTTCGTTACTAATCCATCGGATGATAGTTCACTGAATTATATTGTAAATGTGTTTAAAAGAAGTTTAAATATCTGAATTTTTGCAATTCATGGTGAAGGGCATTACTTGAGTGCAACTGCGCATATGTGGGCGAGCACTCATAATGAGACTATTAGAGCAAATATGGGTGCATTAGTGTCTGCCCTTAAAGAGTGTCAAGATGCAATGAATACAGGGTACCTTTCGGCATTTCCAGCTGAATTCTTTGATAGATATGAAGCTTTGCAATACGTTTGGGCACCGTACTACACAATCCACAAGGTACGGATTGCGTATTAGTCTAGATTCGAAAGATGATATAAATTCTTTCCTTTAAACCCTTCTTAGCGATGGACAATTGTTTATATCATTGACAGGTTATGGCAGGCCTATTGGATCAGTATAACTTTGCTAATAACACTCAAGCCCTGCATATGGTCACGTCGATGGCCAATTACTTTTACATTCGTGTTCAGAATGTAGTAAAGCAATACACTATTGAACGACATTATGCAGCACAAAATGAAGAGACCGGTGGCATGAATGATGTTCTTTACAAGCTGTACATTGTCACGGTTGGTTATTTATGATTATTTTTGCACAAGTTATTACTAGTGGTCAGACCTTGTAAGTTGCATGATGAGTGTCTTGTTTAAAAAAATCCAAAAGAGAAACATGGTTTTCTGCAACATATAGCAAAATTAAGCTTCACATGCTTTCTAATGTTTATTAAGGAGTGTACTAATTAGAACAGCAATGTGCCATAAAAGTTTGCTTCGACTATAATTTGTTGATTATTTGTTGTGGCTGACATATACTCCTTACAAAGAGTGAGAAGGATACAGATGTTAAGCTAAGATAATTTAATTATTGAAAGTTGGTTTCTTACTAAACTTATGCATATTACAGACTTATAGTTGTGTTATGAAGTTCAATCATTTGTAACTGCTTGGATCTTGAATGTCTGAGTAACTTCTTCGGGTTTTCTACAGGGTGATCAGAAGCACTTATTGCTGGCTCATCTATTTGATAAACCATGCTTTTTAGGAATACTTGCAATGAAGGTACTAAATAACCTGTTTAAGATTTTCCTCTGTGCATCCACTTTTTTCAGGATTCTCAATGAAAAATCTTTTATAGTCTGTAATCTTGGTTCTTTTAAAAATGCAGTCCTAACTTGTATGCGTGTATGGACCAATTATAGATTGCTCAACCCTACTATGTCCCTGATTTTTGTTGTGTAGGCTGATGATCTCTCTGGTTTTCATTCAAATACTCACATTCCAATTGTTGTTGGGGCTCAAAAGCGATATGAAATTACTGGTGATGAACTATACAAGGTTAGTGGCTGCATTACAGTTGGTTGCTATACTTGTCAAGTCAAAATAAATTTATAGTTACAGGATACTCAATAAGGGAGGGTCTGCTTCCCATTGAGTGTAGAGCATGATATGTTTATTGGCAGTGCTCGTTTCTAATATCCATAATTTTATGATCGATCAGGAAATGGGAACATTTTTCTTGGATGTCGTAAACTCTACCCACAGTTATGCAACAGGAGGCACTTCAGATTCTGAGGCCTGGTTATAATACATGCTAACCCTTGTCCTTTTTTTTTTTCTTTTTTTTTAAAGATAAATTTTTCTTTAATGATTGCTTATTCATAAAATGGTGATTTTACTAGAAATATTTGTGCTTACCACCAGGCATGACCCAATGAGGTTAGGGGACAACTTAAATACTGAGAATGAAGAGTCTTGTACAACTTATAATATGCTAAAGGTACGCTTTGTGTAATTCAGTAAGTGCTTATTTAGCTATTTGTGGACATCAATAGCAACTCAATGCTTTAATCAGTTCATTGCTATTCTTTCTGAAGTTCTCTCTGGGAATTTGTTCTTTAGGTTTCGCGTAACCTGTTTAGATGGACCAAACAAATGATGTATGCAGATTACTATGAACGGGCACTCACAAATGGTGTGCTGGGTATTCAAAAAGGAACCGAACCTGGTGTCATGATTTATATGCTTCCTCTAGGGCATGGAGTTTCCAAAGGAAAAAGTATTCACGGTTGGGGTGATCAGTTCAATACTTTCTGGTGCTGCTATGGAACAGGTCTAAGCTTTTGCAATGCTTTTATTGTGGAATTTTGTGCAGAAAGGTAACTAATGTGATTTTCTTTGTGCCCAACTTTTGTGCAGGAATTGAGTCATTCTCTAAGTTAGGAGATTCCATATACTTTGAGGAGACGACAAATGTACCTGGGCTCTATGTTATTCAGTACATACCTAGCTCACTCAATTGGATTGCTGCACAAATCTCCCTAACCCAAGTTGTAGATGATGTTAATTCCTTGAATCAAAGCCTCAGAGTAAAACTAACAGTTTCTGCAAAAGAGGTATCAGTATCTACTTCTTAGCAGGATTTGTGATCCCTCTGAAAGACATTCTAATTCATCTTCCATTGCTCAGACTTCAAAGACAGCTACACTGAATTTACGGATACCTTCTTGGACATCATCGAGTGGTTCAAAAGCCTCACTCAATGGAAACAATTTGCCTTTGCCAAGTCCAGGTCTAAATTTGTTATACCCTTTATCATTATCAATTATTTTGTCAGATAATTCAAAATCAACAATATCATCGACTACATCAAAAAAAGGGGAACAAACTTTTTAATGGAGTACATCAAAGAAAGGGAAATAGACTTTTTATTTCCTGCTCAAATGTTTTCTTCTGTTGGCCAGGTAGTTTTCTAAACATATCTAAGAGTTGGGTCAATGGCGATGAAATTACACTGGAGTTTCCGCTGGTACTTAGAACAGAGTTTCTTAAAGGTAATTCTATACATATTATTAAGCTTATGACATGCACCTCTTTTTGCATTTACAACATTCTTTTTCTTACGTCCTACAAAACCATATCTTTCATAGTTTTGAATAATAATTAGAGGTGAAAATATGAGACTGTATTTTAAGCCAGTTTTATTTATAATACAGATCAAAACTAGATTCAAGTCTGCAAACTGATCTGTTAAGAAACTTGTATGAGTATTGTTTTGACTAATAGTTTCCAATGATATTTCAGATAATCGTCCGGAGTATGCCTCACTTCAAGCAATTTTATATGGACCTTACTTGCTGGTGGGTCTATCAAATGGTGACTATGACATTCAAACTGGATCAGTGAAATCTATTTCAGACTGGATAACCCCTATTCCACCTGACTACAATTCCCATCTGGTTTCTTTCGCTAAAGAGAATGGAAACACGGCATTCTTCATCTCAAAGCATAACCAAGCATTGACAATGCTAGGATCTCCTCAAGCTATGAATGATTCTTATGTTCAGTCTACGTTTAGGCTCATTTTGACAGATCCATCTCCGAGTCAAATAAAAAGTCTGGGATCAATAAGTCTTATTGGTAAAGTGGTCATGTTAGAGCCTTTTGATCTTCCAGGCTTGGTGGTTTCTCACCAAGGGGCAGGCAAAGTACTCACTATTAGAGGTGCAACTCATAATAAGCAATCTGCTGAATTTTTAATTGTTAAGGGGTTGAATGGCAGAGTTGGAACGATATCTTTGAAAACCAAAGAAGGTTGCTTTGTGTATGGTGATAGTGGCTCCAAATCTGATCTAAGTCTGAAGTTAAGTTGCAATTTTGGGACTTCGGATCCTTCATTCAAGGACGCAGTGAGTTTCATGTGGAACGAGGGTCTCAAGAAGTACAGCCCTATCAGCTTTGTGGCAAAAGGGTTGAGGAGGAGCTATATTCTTGAACCATTATTGGAAATGAGGGATGAATATTATAATGTTTATTTCAACATAACCATGTAGAAGTTTTCTTTGTACTTAGTATATGCATGTTTTGTAATTCAAAGAATAAAAAAAAAGTAGCAATTAAATAGCAAATTTAAAATTCAACGCCTTTTTAATTACACCCTTTGTTCATGTTTATTGATTACAATTTCTTCAACATTTCTGTTGGGTGTGCCCCAAATTTAAGGCTCATTATTTTGACGAAGTATGAGTTCATGTTCTAGAAGCTTCCAAATATGTGTAGCATGGTTGGTGTTTCGGGGTTTTCTGATGTCCTGCGGGAGAGTTACAATTTCGAGACTGGAACCGGACGCCTGTACCTGCAAAACAACGGAGACTCCTTGTGGTGGGAGCTCCGCCTCCAACGATCAAGTTAGTACTTGTTTGAGGAGTAATTAATGCGGAAATTAAGGTGATTGGGTCTCTCTAGGTGAGAGTGTTTAATGTGTGTAATCTGCGTTTTTAGCATGCTTCCTCCCTTAATGAGGATTAAGGGAGGTATTTATAACCTTGGGAAACGTGCCAATCCTAGGTTTAGGTTAACCTAGGGCTGATTGGGCTTCCCTCGGAAGTTGGGCCTGGGTGGCCGGTTTCTCCATTAGGCATGGAGTATGCCACGTGTCATGACATAATAGGTCCAAGGTGGACGAATAAGCGTATGCCACGTGGCAAGCCCTGACAGTTCCAACTGGGGGACACTTGGCAGGACCTGATTGGCCCACGTGGCGCATTCCGATTGGTGGGAGCAAAATCCCCTAATCATTTTCCCCTCACAGGTGGCACGTGACTGGTCACGTGTTACCTGTGACAGGTGTCGCACTGTAACAGGCGACGGCCTGCTACAGGTGTCACTCGGCGAAAGGCCGAGAGATTCTCCCGCCCAAATTATGAATTCTGGAAGTGACCCTTCGCCTTCTCACTTCGCCTATATAAGGGAGTGTTGACTTCAGTCATTTTCACACGAGAACTTTTGAGAGAACATTCGGACCCCTGAACTTGCTCTGACATTTTGGACCCTTTCTGCCTACCGCCTGCTCTGACAAGCCGACTGCACAGGATTTTCAGAACTCCATCAACGTCACTCGTTCAGGTAACCGTCGGTTCTCTTACTCTTAATTTTCTCTTTATTTTATTCTTTTTTGAAATGGCACCACGGAAGCACACGACACGACCTAGGTTAGTGATCAGCCGGTCACCGGGGACAGCTGAATCTAGGACTAGGAGTGTCGCCTGCCCTTTTCCGGACCCATCTTTTCCCTTTATACAAAGTCCGACTGTATCTGTGTCTATGCAGAGCATGATGGCCAGAACAAAAAAGACTGCCAGGATCTCAAACTCAGACGGCTCCTCCCACAGGGTGCCGATTAGTGAAACATCTGACCAGGCGCCAGATGTGGAAGTGAAACAAAGCGGCTTGAAAGCCGGCAGTTCTGAGGGAGGAGTCAAAGTGACCCCTTCCCATTTTACAGTTGGCAATTCTACATTCTTTCCTGCTCCTTTTAAAGGAGAGGAGGCGGGCCCCTCCGGGAGAGGGGAGGAGTCGTCCTCTTCGGACTCGTCAGAGGACGATTCCGAGTCTAGCTCTTCTGGCCATGCTTCTCTGGACACAGAAGAGAAAAACAGTCGCCTGCAAGAGGCGAGGCTTTCTCACGCAGTTGAGAAGGGGGACGATTGGGCGGAGCCATCCGCCTCTCACCGAGAGCAAAATACCCCTTACTACTGCACGGTACCTCGGGGCCGGATCACGACCATGCAAGAGAAAGTGGAGAGATTTATCGCAAACCACACAATGGGCCCCGGCTTTTTAGTGTTCGTGCCGGATCCAGAAGACACAGTCGTCTGGCCGGCTGGTACCAGTTATGATGGCGCCTGCTTTGGCTGCTACGAGGCGGCCATCAAGGCTGGGCTGCGCTTCCCACTACATCCGGCTGTTCAGCGGATCTTGGATGGGTATGATTTGGGGTTATGGCAGTTAGCCCCGAACTCCTGGGTCAACGTACTCGGCTATGTGGCCGGGTGCGAACTGCACGGGGTGGAGCCGAGCTTCGAGGCTTTCGCCCACATGAACTATCTCAGCCGGACCCCTAAGGCAGGCGGTACCGGCTGGTATCAATTGACGAGCCACAGGGGCTACCTCATGACGAGAGGTAAAGCAAACAAATGGAAGGACTGGCGGAGCACCTTCCTCATCATTGAGAGTTCAGACACAGAGCTGAACAAGCGCTTCAACAGGTGGAACAGGAATCCGCCCCTTCTTGCAGGCGGCCGCAGCATGCCGCCTGTTCCCCCCAAGGCTAAGAAAGAGATCCTAGATAAAGGACTCTTCAAAGTAGAGTCGAAGGTGAACTCTACTTCAGGGGTACGAGAGCAAGTACCCCTGCACTGCGTCCCGAGCTTCAAATGGCTCTACGACGAGTACTTTTTGGCCGCCTGTGGCCTCAGCAGTCGATGCTCAAGAGGTAGCCGGCCTGTCGAATACTCTGTTGTTCCGTGCATTTCTTGTTATGACTTATTAACTTGCTATTTGTTTTTGCAGCGGACGCCATGAGCAAAATTACCGCCTCCAAGACTGCGGCGGCCATGTTGCGGGCCTCCATTATGCAACAGTCTTCAACCGACTCCCCCAACAAGGGGGCACCCTTGGTGGGCTTCGAACCTTTCACCCCCTTTTTTTTGGAGTTGTGTTTATGCATATACTGACTCTTTTCTTCTTTTTTAGACGGGCGCTCCAAGAGCTTCTTCTTCCCAACAGCCGGACCCCAAGGCCCGGAGGACGACTGTTGCGAGCTCTCCTGGTTCTGCCAGGAAACATGCGGCGGCTGAGAAACAGCCGGCCACTTCTTCTAAAACTCCGGCTGGGCCACCTAGAAGTATGAAATTGTCCTTGTAAATTTTAGACTTGCTCCCTTCTTTACTAGGTCTAATCCGTTTGTTTATGCTTGATGCAGCCGGCCCTCAGGAGCCTGACTTGGTCGAGGTGGCAGAGTCTATGATCAAGGCCGTTCCTCCAGCTGAAAGGGAGGCGGTCAGGGATGTCGGCACCCTTGACCTAGACGGGATTGCAGGGGTCCTTGCTGAGGTATACTTAGCATATTTTTGAGTATTTGAATTCCAGGACGCCTGTTTTCTTTTTTGTTTGGAAACTGACGCCTGTTCCCCTTTTAACTTAGGCCCTGCTCCGAGTGAACGGCCTTCGCAAGCCGCTTGACCGGAAGAACAAAGAGGTAAAGGCTGCAAAAGCTATGACCGCCTCTGACTGTGATAAGGCAATGTTTCAAATTGCCCAAAATGAAGTTCTGACCATTGATATTCTTTATTATCAGGCGCAGGCTACCGCCGCTATCCGGGCTCAGTTAGAGGCGGCCCAGAAGAGGAATAGCGAGCTGGAGGCGACCATCAACAACCTCAAGGCCGAGCTGAGACCTCTTCGCCAAAAGATGTCCTCATACGAAACCTTGGAGAAATCCTTGGCGAGCGTAAAGGTACGCCTGGTGACCCAGGAGAAGAGTCTTACTCAGGAGCTCTCGGAAAAGGCCGGGCAAGAAAAGAAAGAGCTGGTCCGGGAGATGATGGAAGACTCTGCTCAAATCCAGCGCATGACTTGGGGCCGCCTCTTCCCCAATGCCGACTTTGCCTCATGGGAAAAAACGTACCGCCAGTGTTCTGATAGATATAATCAAGAGATCCTGGCGGCTGCTGAGGAAGAGGCGTTGGAGGAGGAGCAGCCGGTAGTGGCGCTTGTGCCGCTTGGGGGTAATGCATCAAAGAAGGATGCAGCTGAAGCCGAGTCCAGCAAGAAGAGTGCTGACCAGGCGGCAGCTGCTGATATTGAAGATCTGCCCCCTTCTTAAGCTTTATGTCTTCTTTCCACGGCCTGCGTGCCGTTTGTTTGTATTTACCCGGCCAGGGAGCCGGGGCTCTGAATATTTTGCCGGTCTTTAATGACCGGCTTCTTTTTAATGAATTTTTTTTGTTTTGCTTCAAATTTGTTTAAGTATTGAATATTCTGATATCCAATTGTACACTATACCGACTGTTTTACATGGCCGATAGTTGCAGACAGGTACGGATAGTTAGTCACGCCGCCTATGCCCCTGGACGACTGGTTGTCTATTTCCAGGCTAGACGATCAGTCGACCATTTATCCAATCGGTATTCGAACCATTTTAAAGACTGGATCCCCTTTAGGCAGGCGGTCCTGTCATTTGTAAAATTAACCAAGTAGGAAAGTGGTTTCCTACTTGTCATGCTTTTAGGCTAGAGACTTTAGGCCGTCTAGGCCGACTGTTCCCCGCCATATTTAATCTAGTGTGAGCCGGTGCTGTATGAACACCTTTTTAGTTTCATACTAAATTTTTAAGGAGTGACCAAGTAAACATGATTGTTACCTAGTCGCCAAGTAACTGAGTAGTAGAGGTATCAAGCGGTGGGTACCGGTTGTTCCCCTTTATTCGCCAATGTTTGTTGGCTTTTAACTCATAGGTTGTTAACCTAGCAAGAGTAGTGGTTGAGAGCCCCTGTTTGCTAAAAACAGGCGGACGGCTCATACCTTTTAGGCTCCATACTAAGTGAGAGAGTGACTATGAGTTAACTTTGGTGTTACTCAGTCGCCGTCAATCCTGCTTGAGTAGTAAAGGTACCAGGCGGCGGAGGCCGGCTGAACCTTTTGATTCGCCAATGTTTGTTGGCTATTAACTCAAGAGGTACCCCCTGCATTTATCCCAAGTAATACAGGCGGTCATCTGACTCAGATGTCAACTGCTACCACTGGTTTGGTTAGTGATAGAGTTATCCTTGTCTCAAAAACGGCTACGTGGTTGCCCTTGGGGACAGTCGTATAGGTGCCGTGTAATTAGTTTATAGAGCAATGTTCCACCCAAAAGGGAGCTGCTCTCTGCGACGAATTTCATCCGGAGGGATGCCGCCGGACGCCTGCTATGATGTTGGGACAGGTCGTATTAGTTTTGAAGATTGGACCAGTTGGCTTGGCGCCTGGTTTGATCATTCGGCTTGTGGCCTTGGTTAGTTCTTGGTGAACGTAGGTGCTAAGTAAGAGGAGGGTAGCCGCCTGTTTAGGCACAGGGTCGGCCAGGCCCTAATCTTTTTTAGCTAAGTA